TGCTCTGCAAGGCCACACCTGCTCTCTGCCTTTGAGGATTGTACTCCATAGATGGTCCCCTTCTCCTGCAGCTCCTGAACACAAGGTGCCAGGTTTACCTCCAGCCCATTGAGGGGATTCACGTTGAAAGGTGACGCCCATGTTGGTGATGCAGTCAGTGCCTGGGCACCCGACCAGGTTCCTGACCCCAGACTGAAAATCAAACACCAATCAAAGAACAAGCAAGACGGGAAAAAAAATCAGATTTCAATGAGGAAGGGTAAGAGATGAAATCAGGAGATTCTGGAGGGAAAGTTCAGGTGATGCGAACAGCAGCATTAGGAGAAGGTCAGGTCAGAGTTAAGAACTGTCTGTGGTTAAAAGAAAGAGTTTTAAGACCATAGGATATAGAAGCAGAGGTAGGCCATTCAGCCCATCAAGCCTGCTCCACTAAAATGAGATCATGCTTGATCTGATAATCCTCAATTCCAGTTTCTTGCCTTTTCCCCTTAACCCATGATTTCCTTACTGCTTGAAAATCCGTCTATCTCAGCCTTGATTGAACTAATGCACTAATTCCCAGCCTTCATCCAATTAATGACTCAGCCTTAACAGACTTCTGTGGTAAAGAATCGTTCAGATTCCCTCTCCACAGAGAGAAGAAATTGCTCCTCATCTCTATCCTAACTGGGTGACCCATTATTCTGCAATGATACTCTCTGGTCTGAGACTCTCCTACAAGGGGAAACAACCTCTCCACATCTACTCTGTCAAATCCTCTAAGAATCTTGTGTTTTACTAACATTCACTCTCATTCTTCTAAGCATATAATGAATACAAATCCAAGTTACTCAACGTTTCCTCATAAAACAGTGTCTTCATATCCAGCATCAGCCTGCACTGCCTCCTTTGCCTGCATAGCTTTCCTTCAATTAGGGACCAAAGCTGTTTCAGCTCTGTTAAGACAAATGCATTGTGTAGTTTTAGCAAAACTGCCCTACTTTTATACTCCATTCCTTTTGAAATAAAGGCCAACATTCCACTTGCCTTCCCTGTTGCCCACTCAATATGAATGCTAATATTTTGTGATTTACAAACGAGGACTCCCAAATCCCTCTGTTCTGTAGCTTTCTGCAGTCTTTCTCAATTTAAATAATATATAGCTCCTCTGTTCTTCCTGCCAAAGTATATAACCTCACATATCCCCACGTTATATTACAAGTGGATCAAGTTTTGACCCATTTGTTTAACATGTCTACATCCTTTGGCAGACTAGTTGCGTTGATTTGGAATTGAAGGTAAAGGTGCTCTACCTGGTAGATCAGCTGATTAATGGTGACAGGTCATTGAGTACTTTCGAAAGCTGAGTTGGGCACTTGGGTTGAAATCGCAGCATTACAGGACAGCACAGAGCAGGCTAACAGCATTGTGGCTGTTACTGACACCAAATGGACTGTAGTTGAATGTGGTTTCCCATCATCCTCTCAACAGCATTTTGAGATGGGCAATAAATGTGGGCTTTACCAGCTTCGCTTACATCTAAAGAATGAAGAAAATAAAATTGACATTAGGCCATGGCTATGTTTTTTAGGTAATAGGGTTTCATTGCCTGTCGATTATCCCCTCATACCTGGATGCCGGGTGTAAGATTTCAATCACAGGTTTCCTACAGTGCAGTGTGGGGCCATTCGGTCCTTCAAATCTGCACCAAGCCTCTGAAAGGCATCGCACCTGGACCTAGCCTCCCATCCAATCCCCATATTTACCAGGGCCGATCCTCCTGGCTCGCACACTACAGTGCAATGTAGCATGGCCCATCCATATCCAGATACCTTCCTATCTTTGGACTGTGGTCAGAAACTGGAGCACCCAGAGGAAACCCACACCGGCAGTCACCCCAAGCCTTAATTTGAACCCAGGTCCCTGGCTCTACAAGGCAGCAGTGTGAGCTGCTGTGCCACCCATGCGCGTGGCGAAGAGTGTGTCAGCGTTCTTTGTAATGCAGCTTAGAAAGCACAAGAGGTCACCAATGATAGAGAGTGCATTAGCTGGGCACAGAGAGTAGTGCTGCAGTCAGGCAACGTTTCTGACAAAAACAAAGTTGCTGGAAAAGCTCAGCAGATTTGGCAGCATCTGTGAAGGAGAAAACAGAGTTAATGTTTTAGGTCCGGTGACCTTTCCTCAGAACTGATGGTGGCTGGGTAAACATCAGTTTATATGCAGAAAGGTTTTTATTTAACATTTCTGACAAATCCTTCCGTGCAGCACATGCTAACAGTGACTCCCATTTGTCCACCAGACCTCACTGATCTTCTCTGGATTCAGGTTATATTAACCGCTTTGTTCTAAAAAACAAATTCCACTTTATTTTCAAACCTCCTTTGGCCTCACCTCATCCTCTCCATGGAACATCCTCCAGACCACCAGCAGAGCCCAGTATCTACAGAAGTTGCTGGAAAAGCTCAGCAAAGGAGGGGCTAAAAAAACTTGGGTTGTTTTCTCTGGAGCACCAGAGGCTGAGGGGAGACTTGATAGAATCCTACAAAATTATGAGATGGATAGAACAAAAACAAAGTTGCTGGAAAAGCTCAGCTGGTTTGGCAACATCTGTGAAGGAAAAAAAACAGAGTTAATGTTTCGGTTCAGGTGACCCTTCCTCAGAACTGACCCGAAACGTTAACTGTTTTTCTCCTTCATAGATGCTGCCAGACCTGCTGAGCTTTTCCAGCAACTTCTGTTTTTGTTCCTGATTTACAGCATCCACAGCTCTTTCGGATTTTTTTCATATAAAACCGAGTATCTGCAGTGCTCCAATTTTGATCGCTCTACCACTTGTTGCTTTCAGATGCCTGGACCCCAGCTTTGTTTCTGCAAAACCTCTCCCTACTGTTTTCTCTTCTTTTAAGATGCTTATCGATCCCTTTGAGTCCATTTTCTGCCATGTGCCCGAATATTGTCATGCGTGGCTTTTGTGTTGAATTTCATTTTGATACGTGCCCTATGAAATATCCTGGGATGTTAAGGGCATTATATAAATGCACATTAAAATTATTCCTGCAGTGTCAGTCATTATTTAATTGTAATGTTAAACCCAAAGTCTGCCTTGCCTCTCAAGTGGATGTAAAAAGATCCCACGGCTGTGATTTCAGTTAAAGATCAGCTGTATGCTACCTACAGTCCTGGCCAACATTCAATCCACAATAATAGCACCAAAACAAAAAGTAGACCCATTGATTTGGAAACTTGCTGTGTGTAAACCGGCCACTGTGGTTCCTACAAATGGCCGGACCATAGCAAGAGAGTTGTGTGCAGTTCTGGAATCCCCACTATAGGAGGGATGTGATAGCGCTAAAGGGAGTGCAGAGGGGATTGGCCAAGATGTCGCCTGGCTGGGCTGGAGAGTTTCAGTTATGACGTTATACAGTCATGCAGCACGGAAACAGACCCTTCAGTCCAAGCTGACCATGTTCCCAAACTAAACTAGTCCCACCTGCCTGCATTTGGCCCATATCCCTCTAAGCCTTTCCTATTCATGTACTTATCCAAATGTCTTTTAAACAGTGTAACTGTACCTGCATCCACCACTTCCTCTAGCAGTTCATTCCACACACAAACCACTCTCTGTGTAAAAAAACTTGCCCCTCATTTTCTTTTTAAAACTTTCTCCTTTCACCTGAAAAATATTCTCCCTAGTTTTGAAAATCCCCACCCTAGGGTAAAGACCCTTGTTATTCACCTTCTCTATGTCCCTCATGTTTTTATAAACCTCTATAAGGTCACCCCTCAACCTCCTACGCTCCAGTGAAAGAAGTCCCAGACTTTCCAGCCTCTCCTTATAACTCAAACCCTCCATTCCCAGCAACATCATGGTAAATCCTTTCTGAACCCTCTCCAGTTTGATAATATCCTTCCTATAACAGGGCGACCAGAAGTGTACACAGTACTCCAAAAGAGGCCTCACCAACATCCTGTACAAACTCAGCACAACATGTCCCAACTCCTATGCTCAAGGTCTGAGCAATATGAAGAGAGTTTGGATAGACTGGGGTTGTATTCCTTGAAACAGAGGACTCTGAGTGGTTCATGATTAAGATGTATAAAATTAAGAGGGGCAGAGACAGGGAAGACAGGAAAGAACATTTCCCCTTGGTGCAGGAATCAATGACATAGATTTAAGATAAGGGCAGGAGGTTGAGAGGTCTTTTGAGGAAAAACGTTTATTCACTCAGAACGTGGTAGGAATCTGGAACTCACTGCTGGTAAGGGTGATAGAGGCAGAAACCCTCATAACATTAAAGAAATTTTTAGATGTGCCCGTTTGATGCCAACGCTATGGTCCATGTGCAAGAAATGGGTATTAGACTATAGTGAGGTGGTTGTTTTTGACTGGAGCAGCCTTGATGGGCTGAAGGGCCTTTTTCTATGCTGTGGACATCAGTGACTCTCCATGACCAAATTTCAGAAAACGTTTTATTGGTGGCAAAATGCTCTGGAGCACCCTGGAAATTTTCAAAGCTGCTATAGGAATGCAGAGCTTTCTTTTCCTGAAGGTTTAGTGGGTTGGCTGTGATTACAGCCAGCAGGGAGCTGGGGAGCGGGTGCTTCTGAGAGTCTTGGGCAGTTTTAAGAGGCATCACAACCAACTCCGCGATGCCGAAACTTTGGAACAATTTGCTTCCAAAACACAAAATTGATATCTTGCCCGATTTGATTGAAGAAGCAGGTTTGCTGAGTGAGCAGAAGTTTCCAAGGATGCCCCCTTAGGGGAATGCCGCATTCTCTGATACTGCACACACGTGTACAACAACCGCCAAGGTTGCTAGGATCAGGCCATGATTCACCTCAGCTCCTGGGCGGAGGGCCAATTGAGCACAGAGCTGATAACGCTCCATTATAAAAGGAGCAGGGACAATGTGGGAGTAAGTCGCAGCATTCGCCACCAGCAGCAGCAACGATAATCTCCGAGCTCGAGGCGCCGCTCCTCACACAGCCTCGCCACCCCAGCCATTCCTCCGAGAAAAATGGCACCTCACTGCTGTCTGCCCACCCTCTGGCTCCTGGCTGCCACCCTCACCATCTCTGTGCTCCTGCCTGGGGTCAGTCCACAGGCCACGGACGTGGGCATTAAGCTGTGCGGCCGGGATTTTGTCAGGACAGTCATCATCTCCTGTGGAGGCTCCAGGTGGAAACGGTACTCGCCAGAGGAGAATGACGAGCGAGACAACGTGTACAGTAAGTAACATTTCTCCCGGGGCTCAGGGTCAGGATCCCCTCTACAGTAAGTAACAGCTCTCCTGGGGATCAGGGCCAGGTTCCCCCCTACAGTAAGTAACAGCTGTCCCGGGGATCAGGATCATATTCCCCTCTACAGTATGTAACAGCTGTCCCGGGGATCAGGATCAGATTCCCCTCTACAGTATGTAACAGCTGTCCCGGGGATCAGGATCAGATTCCCCTCTACAGTAAGTAACAGCTCTCCCGGGGATCAGGATCAGATTCCCCTCTACAGTATGTAACAGCTGTCCCGGGGCTCAGGGTCAGATTCCCCTCTACAGTAAGTAACAGCTGTCCCGGGGATCAGGGCCAGATTCCCCTCTACAGTAAGTA